TCAAAGAATAAGGGGTCGTTTACTAAACACTTACCCGGTAAGTGCTTACCGGTAAAGTTTAACTCTATTATTTACTTACCGAGTAAGATTTTAGTCCACCAAAACGACATCATATGCAACAATTTACCCGGTAAACGCTTACCGTGGTAAGAGTCGTCCCCCTCACTTACCGGGTAAGGCTCTTGGTTCTTTTCTCATTCCTAATGAGTAAGATTCTTGGTTCTTACCATATTCATCTGGTGAGGTAACATGACTTGGTAAGCACTTACCCGAATAAGTATTTGATAAACGACCCATAAACTTTAAAGAATTTAGCAGGATTGAAGTTTGAATATACGACTATTACAAACTTTGAACGACTAGATTTTTCTTTTCAATTAAAGCGTGTGTTTGAAATATGCAAAATTAAACTAATTATATAATTTTTTTTAATAAATATAATATTTATAACCAAAATCAGATATTTTCATTTAATTGTGCATGCTAATCACTTTTAAAGTTGTTGAATGTTCAATAACTTTCGATTATTTAATAAAGTAATGAATAAAATAAGGGTAAATAATTAATTATTGAAAATATTAAAGACAAAATCGAATGCAATAAACATCTTCGGCATCTATTTTAAAATAGAGATTTTGATGTTTTTTAAGTATTTTTTTTACTCCAACCGTAAACGGAATATTAAAGATATATATATATATATATATATATGCTCATTCAAGGGAGAACTGACTAGTTTGTGATAACCGTAAGATCCAATTTCAACCACAAATCAATAGATAAATTAGAAAATTTATAATTTTGGTAATTTTTAATTAAAATTTTGATGCAAGGACATTTTAGGTATTTTATCTCTTTTTAATATTTTATTTATAAAAAAACAAGACCGTTAAAAATACTTTTAAACACATTATCTTATACCATTTCGGTATATTCTTACCTTTCGGTTTAATTAAAAAAAAAACATAGATTGATGACGTAATATTTATGTGAAGTCCAAGATAACGAGATTAACACCGACAATTATGGTAAAAAGTTTGTAGCTTTTGATATTATTGTTGTTTAAAAGCAAACATGTTGTCTTAATGAAAGGTAGGCTGCGGGAATAAAGCCACTTCCATTTTATTATTGCTACATACAATTAAATCATGTATTAAAAACATGTTCCATATTTTCGGGAAAAAAAATTGATTGCTGACAATCTTAACCGGTTTCGTACGAACCTGTTTTTAAGGACATCAATGTGTGGGGTATTTTTTTGACTCACTCAGTGGTTGAGGCTAGCAGAAGGGGTGAGATCGAACATAAGACGTGTCTTATATATGGACAAAGTTAGTAAGTCACTCACACTTTTGCCAACTGAGTTACGCTAGAGACAATATGTTAACATTTTTTTTTAATCTTAATATGTTTTTAATTGAAATTTAATTATTCTAGTTTTCTTTTTTGAAAGAGAACGGGCATTTGATTAAAATGAGAATTTGATTTCGGTTAATATTAACACGTGTTGGTCTAGTGTTGAAATCCGTCAAAGTCCTAGTGAAGAATACTAGAATAGTGGCTAGATTGTCATGATAACGTTAACGACCGAAGTTGTTGGATGTGAATTCGGTTTTGACTATTCTTAGTATTTTATACCAAACAAAAGGTTTGGGAATTGATAACTTCTTAGTCGACCTCACACCGTTCCACCTAAAGAGCATCATTTGAAAGACAAATAAGGTGTATAACGGTTTACTCGATAGATCGTTTGTTTATGCAAATATACCGTTCGAGGATCGGCTATGTAAAGGCCTAGAGATGAAAATCTTTAACTGTTTTCATTTCATTATATCCAATCAACATGTTTAGACACAATTATGAAAATTTTAATTCAGTAACTTGTGCCTAGAGTAAGTTACATACTTCATCCCTCTGGTTTACATATTATAACCATATCGTTTATGATTTGTAACACATTTGGTCTATTTAGGGGGTGTTGGGAATTGCTTATAAAAACAATCTATTGACTTACTCCGGTGTGACTCCGGTAATAAACATTTTTGAGTGTTTGGATAAACAACTTATACCGGTATCAAACCGATAATAAGGAGTTTTTGAAGAAGGGTAGATGACTTGTGGTGTGGCCAAGACGGAGAAGTGGGGAAGAAAGTAAAATAGTGGGATAAATGGCATCATCCTAAGCGACAAAGAAGATAAGAAAAAAAAATATGATAATTTTTAAAAAGCAATTTTTTTTTTAATTTTCTACATATTAAACGCGTTTTTATATGCTTTTCAAGCATAAATGATGATTGCATTGCGGTACTAGAAAGCATTTCCATAAAAAGTAGGAACTAAAAAAGGATACATATTTAGGGGTCGTTTACCTAAATATTTATCCGGTAAGCACTTATCAATAGTAGTCAACACTATAATCTATTTTATCAGATAAGATTTTAGTATATTAAAATGGTATGATATGCAACAATTTACCTGGTAAACACTTACCCGAGTAAGAGTCCTCAGTCCTTACCATCACTTACCGGGTAAGACTCTCTATCCTTATCATCGGTCTTATCGGGTAAGATTTTCGGCCCTTGCCATGTGCATCAAGTGAGGAAAGTTACCCGATCAACACTTACCGGGTAAGTGTTTAATAAATAGTCCCTTAGTCAAATTTGGAGTTAAATTGAACCTATTTAAGAAGCAAACTATATAGAAATATGAGAGTTTATTTATTATTATTTAGTATATAAATTAATTAATTGAGATATTTATAAAAATTGTGTAAGTTTAATTATTATGATTTATATATTTATTGATAATTATCAAAGTTTATTATCATGATTAATGTTTTATATTAGAAAATAATCAAGATATTTATTGAATCAGATATTTTATAGACTAGATGAACGCTTGACATTGTTTTGACTAATGGTTGGGTTTGAAAATGAAACCACCTCCTCTTGTATGAGTGTGTATACACACACATAGAGAGAGAGGGAGGGGGCGTGTAATCATTTGTTAACCNCCTCCCTCCCTTTGATCGTCTGGGAAAGGGTAATTATGGTAAGAAACATAATAAAAGATCTGAACCTTAATCACTTTTAATCTCATACTCATTCATGAATTGCGCTTTGAGAGTGAAATTATCCGTTGCATATTGGTGCACAACACTTTCATTTTATGAGAATATGAGAACACTCGTTTACTATAGACAATCACATGTGATATTATTATTACATCACATAAGATACACATGTGATACTAAATCAAAGACGCGAATAATTTTCGATGAGATCTTGGTAGGGAGCCAAGTCGTCCTTACACCACTAACCCCTCTCACATGTATTATCACATGTGATAAGGGTGTTGTTTATATGATACTATAATTCATCAAGACCATCACATGTGATGCTAAATCATAGACGCAGACAACATTTGGTGCTAGCTAAGTCGTAGAACACGTCGTCCACATATCACAGCGTCCTCTCACGCGTATTATCACATGTGATAGGGTGAGAGAGAGAGAGAGAGATGAAAGAGACAAATGAAATGCGAACCACAAAATGTAACGAACTGTATAAACAAGTGTCCATGTGTTATTTTATATATGGAACATAATATGAAACATTCATAATTGTTTTACAAATAAAAAGAACATTTAAATACCGTTCATATACAAAACACACATTAAAACATAAACATATGAAACAACTTGAATTCTAACTTCAAATAAAATTTATTGAATAGTTCGAATTGATTATCAATAATTTATTATATTTTTGTGGTTCACATTTGATTTCCTATCTTTTTTTTGTTATATACATATGTAACAAAAAAAATACCAATTTGCACTACAAAACCCACAATGAAGCCAAAATTTTGTCTTTGTTATTGTTTTGGAATCAATTTCTATAACTTCATAAATTACAGTGATGTCAACTTTGCTTTTACATATATATATATATATATATATATATATATAAATATATATATATATATATATATTAATTTTGCTAAAAATGAATTTAATCATTGGTTATTTAAGGGAGAAGTTTTGAATTGATTTTAGAAATAAAGATTTTATAAAATTGGTTTCCTAAAATATGAATTATAGCAAAGTTCGTTCACAATTTCTTCTTAGGAAAAAAATATTAACTAAGGGGCAATTTATCTAATTGTTTATCCAGTAAGTGCTTAACGATAGGTGTCAATACTATAATTTAATTTGATACATAAGATTTTAGTATATCAAAACATATCGAATGCTACAATTTACTGGGTAAACGCTTACCTCGGTAATAGTTGTTGTCCGCACTTACCGTGTAAAACTCTCCATCCTTCTCATGGCTCTTACCCGATAAATTTTTGGCCCTTCTCATGTTCATCCAATGAGAAAAGTTATTCGTTGAATATTTATCAAATAAGTATTTAGTAAACAGCTCCTAAGAGTTTTCTTTAACAACCTATTCATAATTCTTGTAAAGTCGAGAAAGAAAAATTTAAAAAAAATGCATCCAACTCGAACAATTTATTTATTTTAGAAATTTCAACATTAATTATACTAATAAAATATTCACTATATTTATTTTACCAAAAAATTTACCATATTTAATTGGTGAAAACAATAAAAAAAATCTATCTCTCGCATTTAATTTTAGTGACCTTTAGTCTACTTCTAATATTTTGACTATTTTGAAAAGAAAATAGTGTCGTTTGTCTTAAAATACACGTTTATATTTTTATTTTTATTTATCATGAATAAGTGTATGCTTTTAAGTATAATTTTAATTATGATATAAAAAACTTATTTTATATACTATTAAAAATAAAAAAAAATCATTATAATTAATTAAAAATTAAGATAATATTGTATTGTGCGACAAGTAGAGTATATTATTGTTTTATAATTAATTTTAATTATTAATTTGATTTTATTACGTTACATGAAGGATGGTGGTAACTTACACTTTTCTGTATCTATATAAACCTACCCTCCCACACCCATTCTTCTTGGAGTTAACAAAATCAAGCAGGTGTTCCCTTCTCTACTCCCCTCGAGCCCCAACCTCAAAGCTCTTCTTCAATGGCGGTTCCATCTCCAGATGCAACAGAAAAGCTTCATCAACCCATCAATGGCGTCCAGGAGATGGAATTTGACCCAAGTGCCCCTCCTCCATTCAAGGTGGCTGACATCAGAGCTGCCATTCCCGACCATTGTTGGGTTAAGAATCCATGGAGGTCACTCAGCTATGTCCTCAGGGACATTTTAGTCATTTCCTTATTGGTCGCCATAGCTGTTTTCTTCAGAACCACTTCATGGGTTTGGCCTCTTTACTGGGCTGCACAAGGCACAATGTTTTGGGCAATCTTTGTTCTTGGCCATGATTGGTACACACATATATACATACATTATTTCTGTATCTATATCTCATGCATCATTTACTTGTACCTTATTGCTTTAATCCACTTGTTCCCTCTCTCTCTCTCTCTCTTTCTCTTTTCCTGGATCTGATACTCTTATTATCTTTTCTTTCTCAGTGGCCATGGAAGCTTTTCAGACAACCCTAATCTCAATAGCTTTGTGGGCCATATTCTGCATTCATCAATCCTAGTACCCTACCATGGGTGGTGAGTATCTTTAAAATTACCGTTTTACCCTTTTAGATATTTTAATCGATTGCACCCTTTACGTTGCTAAATGCATTTTTATCTACTAATTTGTTCGTCGCACATCGACATCAATGTTTACCAATGTAATTAAATCATATTAATTATTTATTTATTTTCTTGAATTTTTAGGAGAATTAGTCACAGAACTCATCATCAAAATCACGGTCATGTCGAAAACGATGAATCATGGGTTCCGGTAATATTTCCATCGAAAATTACTGAACAACGTCCGTCGGGAAGCTCGTTGTTTTCGTTGTCAATATTCATATATTTTATTGTATTCTTTCAGTTAAATGAAAAGACATACAAGACATTGGATGCTCCCACCAAGCTTCTCAGATTCAAAATCCCTTTCCCATTATTTGCATACCCATTGTACCTGGTACTCCTATGAATTATTGTCTTGTACCGTACAACCCATCAATGCACAACCCAACCCGACCCGACCCGTTTTAACTTGGAATTTTGTGATTAAATTGACAGTGGCAGAGAAGCCCAGGGAAATCCGGGTCGCATTTCAACCCGTATAGTGGAATGTTCAACCCGAATGAAAGGCATTATATCTTGACATCCACTTTGTGTTGGGCTCTAATGGTGGCCAATCTTTGCTATCTGTCAATTGTTATTGGGCCAACCCTATTGTTCAATCTCTATGGCATCCCTTATTTGGTGAGTTTCTATTTCTCGCTTTCCGTGGTTTCCGTCTTCGTTTTCTGATCGATTCTCGTTCACAGATTTTCGTGATGTGGTTGGATTTCGTCACGTATTTGCATCACCACGGCCACGAGCAAAAGCTTCCGTGGTATCGCGGCAAGGTACGGTTCAGTTTGGCACTAGGGTGCGTACAGTACATTGATATGTCGTGTATTACATGTGTCGTACATTGATATACCGTCTCGAATCATTTACACAACTTCTTGCACCAAAATAATTTAAAATTTAGTGTAAACCATCAATAATGCCTCCAAATTTTCAATGCAAAAACAACGGCTGCAAGCTCCATGTCATGAGTCGGGTACTGTTTCTCGTAATTTTTTAACTGTCTAGAAGTGTAATCAATAACTTTCCCACTCTGCATCAATATCAACCCCAAACCCAGCTTTGAAGTATCATTGTATACCATAAATTTTTCAATACTCACTTATATAGATTTTTTGTCATATCCTTGTATTTATCAGGTATTTACATGTTTGACCCACAAACCTTTTTACGTTTTTCGTCCTAGTGGTTTGTTAAAAGTTGCAGATTTCATCCTTGTGGTTTTGAAATTGCGGTTTTTGTTCTTATGGTTTGTAATTCATTTCTATTTTTGTTCCTAAGGCTAAACACTACTTTTAAGTATGAGAGACTAAAATAGAAATGAATTGTAGACCATAACAGAAACGAAAAAAGCAATAAAATTTAAATCATTAAAACGAAAACGGTAATAAATTATAAACCATGGGATAAAAATCGTAATTTCAAAATCATAAAGAAGAAAATAGAAATTTTTAACAAACCACAAAGATTAAAAACGTAATTTACTTACTATTTGTGTTTTAAAATTTTTAACTTTATAAATAAGTTTTAAACTTAAAAATGAAATTTATTATATATATATATATATATATATATATATATATGTATGTATGTAGGGGAACGATCAAATGCAAACCACTCAATTTGTACAAACCGTGCAAACTTCATTCAACCAATCACAATTTTTCATTTTGTTCATTTTTTTGTAATTATGAGAGGTTGATTAATCATTTTTATTGTGGAGGGTGAATCATAGATATTATCATCTTCATTATTTTAATTTTAGAGAAATACATGAAACAGTTTCATTAAGTATTATATAAATATTATATGAAAACAATTTCACAAGATTAAACAATTTCATGAAAAAATTTCATCAGATTAAACAATGAAATCGACGGATGAAGGTGGTTTGCACGGTTTACACAAATGAGGACGGTTTTTATTTGATCACTCCTCTATGTATGTATGTGTATATATATATATATATATATATATATATATATATATATATATAAAGTTACAAACTGACGTTGAGTTTTTGTGGTTTTGAATAGGAATGGAGCTACTTGAGGGGAGGGTTGACAACTGTTGATCGAGATTACGGAATATTCAACAACATCCACCACGATATCGGCACTCACGTCATCCATCATCTTTTCCCGCAAATCCCGCACTATCATTTGATTGAAGCGGTACGCCTCACATTAATTACAACATTTATATAGGTTGTTGAGAATGTTATTATTGCTAATAATTGTTTTCACTTATCTAACGGTTATTTTACTTGCTATGCAGACAAAAGCTGCAAAGTCGGTGCTCGGGAACTATTATCGAGAGCCGAAAAAGTCTGGTCTGATACCGGTTCACTTGATAGACAACTTGGTTAGAAGTATCAAACAAGATCACTATGTTAGTGACACTGGTGAAATAGTTTACTACCAAACAGATTATCGAATGATTGGCAAAAAAATGGAGTGATTAAACCCTAATTTCAACATTTCTTTGTGAGAAAAAACTCTCGAAAGGGAAATAAAACAAATTTAGTGGTTATATTACTGTATTATTTGTTGTTATGTAACAGATCATGAAATATCTGTAAGTTGGTTTATTAATTAAAAGTTGGCACTTACTATCAAGCTTTCTTTATGTTTCCTATCTTGTATTAAAAGAAACTGTAAAAAAAAACTATAAATACTCACGATGCTAGAATTTATTGTCTAAAAACAAAATGAAGCCAAAGAAATATTGGTCCCAAATTCATGTCGTGGGTTATTTCTTTCTGGGTTTAATGCAGTATTTTATTACATACTGTATATGTCAACGACAAATTCTCAACCAGAGTATGTATTATCATAAAAATAATGCATACTCGTAAATCAAATTTCTACATAATAATTGAAATGTTATATACGTCTTTCAACGGACACTGTTAAATGAGAATTAAATTGTGTTTTATGTTATGTACCATTAAAACGAAATTCCTACAAATGGTCCCCAAACATATTTGTCAATCGATACTTCCAACTAACTTATAAATGATTCTGTTTTGTTTTATATCAGTTAAAACCGAACATTAAAATAAATTTATTTCGTAAAATAGTCATTTTTGGCTATTGGATTCATCTCTTAGTCATTTTTCTCTAACGCCGACCAAAATGTCACTGTCTCCGCAAATAATAGGTCAATGACTTAGGGAGGTAAGTAAATGACAAAAGAAATTTACAGTTTGTGGACCCAATCACAGCCTCTAAAATATATTTTGAAACTTATGGTTATGTTTTTTTATTAAAAAATAATAATAAATGCTTGTGAATGTCATTTAATTATTGTAATTGTATTATTTAGGTGGTTGGGATGTAACTACAAAATGACTGTATATTATGCTGACCAATATAATGTCTAAAGGTATATTTCTCCTCGAACTACAAACTATAATTTAAGTTTTATTTTAAATTTGTTATTTATGCATTAAATACTTCTTGTTATTTATTACATACTATTTCTGGCCATCGAAAATGTAACACCATCTTTTCCATCTCAAAAAAAGGGGGGGGGGGTGTTATAACAGAACTCTCCAATAATAGATAAACAACCATGAACATAAGAAACCTATATCTCCAATACATGTCTCATAACGGAAATCTAAACGTACCAAAACTTATGTACAGTTCTACAACATAGTTTGTCACATACCAGACCAAGACGAGAAGTAAAATGCTAAATAACGTCCTCGTGATTTAGCCATGTCCGTTACCTCTATCTAGCTTGGCATAACTTGACCCTCAGATGTTACCACAATAAGCTCAGTGAATCCATCAGAGTCGGACCCATAAATTTTTTTAAGTGTTGACTTAATTTAACTATAAAAAAATCTATTTTTTTTTCCAGAATATTAGTATGCAGAAGCGTATCTTTTTCCCTTACGATAAAATCATGAAGCGGTGCAATGAATATAGCTCACGGTTCTACCACGTGGTTAGAGCGAGAGCTACTGGACTCTTATCGGTGACGGATCCAGGATTTTTGCCTGATGCGTGCACCTTTAAGGAAAATTAAAGGATTTTTACAATGCCGTTTTAATGAACTAAAATTGTACCTTGTAAGATAAGTGGTAGTATTAAATTTTATCGGTAAGCGTTTACCGAAGAATTGTTTGGGTAAACGGCCCCTTAGCCGAAGTTGACCAAACTCGGTCATCTTGGGTTCATTTTTTATCCCGTTCAAGCTTGGGTTCATCGATATCGATTTGATTTGTCGTTGGTTTTTTCAACTCTAACTCTTGTACAATAAAGAATAAACCCATTAATCAATCTCAGAATCCAGATCACTTGGGTTTTGTACACCCCTAGCTGCTGGAGAAACAATAAATGACCCGAGAACACGAACAAAGGACCATATATTAGTAACATACCAAATATAATGAACCAAACCAAACCAGACACATCAAGATCAAAAGTGTAATAATAACATATTTCTAAAATTATGTATCATTTTTTTGTGGATATTTATTTTGAGACAGAGAAGTACTTGTTTTGATTTGAATTTAATTATCAAATACACATTTTTTTAAACTTAAAGAGTAAATTACAGGTTCATCTTTTTGGTCCAGATATAACAAAACTTGGTCATTGTTTTGTAACTTGAAACTAAAGAGTCGTTCACTAAACACTTACCTTGGCAAACGTTTAACGGGTAATAACAGAAAACCAAAAAAAATTTACATGATTAGAAGAAAGACAAGGATCGAGTGTCTTACCCGGTAAACGAAGGTGATGACTTTTGCTCGGCAAACGCTTACAGAGTTATAAACGCTTACCATCAATCGGTTTTGATGGCCGAAGATATAACCCCATAAGGTAAATCAGAGTGGTGATTCTTGTCGGTAAACGGGTCCTAAAAACGAGAAGTAATGACTTATCATATAAAGAAATAAGCAGATGATGAACTAAAGGGATTCATTCATAATGAATACATATGACTATGCCAATATATCACTAAGTACCGTAACACAAATAATTCCGTAAAAATGTGGGATATATAATATCTAACCAGCCAAAACAAGGCTATTCTTGATGCTACTAAAATACATTAATAATAATAATTACAATAAAACATACCTAAATTATCATTTCACCATGATTCTTGAAGGAAGATAAACACATGATCCATCATCTTCAACATTAACTCCTTCAACAGCTACCAGTTTCACCATTGATGATGATCCATTCTCGATATCGGCCTCGACCCGAAGTTTCTGCTTCGATTCCATAAATCCCGTAAAGAGAATGGAATCAATCCAGTCCCGAATAGCATCTTTTCGGTCTGATAACCAACGAGATGCAAGAATTTGGATCATTACTTCATTCTCAATCTCTAATGTGTGATTCGATCCAAATGATTTCTGAAAGCAGATTCCGATGTCCTTCAGAATGGTTTCTGCATTCGAGTCGAAATCGAAGGGATCAAACACAACTTTTTCATCCACTTGATCCGAGAACTCTTCCAACCACACTTCTTTAGTTTCAGAAACACTTCCGTTCTCACTGTTCTCACTCTCTTCGGTTTCCTCCACCGGAAGATTCAAGTCGAAGCACGATTTCGACTTCTTGACCGCCGGTACCATTATCTCAAAATCTCCTAGTTCGATAAGCTTTCTTTTGCTGGAAATCACAGGATTTCTAGAAGTCGATTGTGTCGGCAAAAGTAGGATACTGGAGCTTCTGGGCTCGATGGTACTTTCAACTAAGATTCTCATTTGAAAGGCTCTGGCATTCAAGACTCTTTCCTCCGAATAGCTCAAGAGGTCGGCTTCTTTACTACTGCTTGAGGTGGTCACAAAGATTGCATCGGTGATGCGGGTTTCGCGACCACGAGAATCCGACAATTTGCCGGTTCTGATGGCCCGAGATAAGCTATCTTGAGTTACAGAATCGGCTTTATCTATATGTTCAAGGAGGATTAACAACCGTGGTTTCTTGCTCAACTCCTCAGCGATGAAATCTGTGATGGTTTTCCCTCTAAACGATAGATCACAGAAGTTTACACTTTGACGGTCAAAAATGGAGCTTGGATGACGTATCTGGTTTTCAAAGTTGAGATCGATCGCAATCAAGCTTTCCCGGCTCCCAAAAACCACCTCGGCAAGTGCGGTGCTGATTTTCTTCTTGCCGACTCGGTCTGAGCCGGAAAACATAAGCCATATATCTCGTCTATGACTCGAGCCATGGCGAATTCCGTTCCCAGTTCTGCATCGTGAGATGGTTTGGCTAATGGCACGAATGGAACCATCTTGATCTCCGACCTTATCTGCAAGAGCTCTATAGAGTGCCTTGTAATCTTTTTCATAAAATTTCGTACTCATTTCATCAACCTCTGCAGAAGCAGACCCACAAAAGTTCTGAATACGAGCTTTGTGATCGTGCGGCCTTGGTTCGAGATCAGGCGAAACGTAAATCGTTCCTAGGCCCAAATCCGTGGTTATGGAAGTTGTTGGTGAGGATGTAGTACTTGCAAGTTTCGTTGCTGCAAAAAAGTCAACGGGCGGCTTTTGTGGTAAGCTGTTTTCGGCTTCAGAAGTGACCGTCAGTTGTATGTGTTGCGTCTTTTGATAGTCCCGTTGATCGGACGGAGATAGATTCCTGAATCCTTCTTGATTTGAATCTTTACTGCTGATCTCCACCCTCTTGGGATCAGCCGGGAAGTGGCGAGGAAAAGGAACTCCGGCGGTAATCTGAGGATTATTTTGCTGATTGTGATGAAGACGGTGGCAGATATCGTTCCATTTCCGCTGCAGCCCCGCCACGAGGGCGTTGAATACACCACCATGATCTTTAGCCTGCACTGAAAAGATGGGCCAGATGTCGAAACATGTATATCTTCATAGAAAGCAATAGACATAGCTAGGATCATCTTAAACCATTGAATTTAGTACCTTGGAGCTTTTGAAAGGAAATAATATTATTTCAAATACATTTATTGCTGGTATTTAAATGATATGATAATGATATAATAGTAGTAGTAACGATAATCATGATGACAATGATACTCATTTATATTGCTTTGAAGTAGTATGTGTCTCACCTCGCCAGGTTGTCAGAATATAATATATATAGGGTCAGGTTCATAAGAAAACCACAAAAAATGAAAATATGAGGAATACACTAGTAGCCATTCATTTGTACGGTATGCACACGTGCATAGAAACCAAGAAACATCTTCAATTACTTGTATGGACATGTGCACCATAAAGATGAACAACTATTAAAGGTGTTACCTCAGTTTTTCGTTTTTTGGAGAGTTTTCCCCTGAACCTCACTCTACATGTGTATATATGTGTATGTGTATGTGTGTGGTTTGGGCACCCTCCTCCTTTAAGCCAGCTATTGGGTAATGGGAGCAAGTTCTACAGTTCTACCCAAACCCGTTTATTATCGTATCAGAGCAGGTTTTTGTAGGTAATATGGGGATTGCATCTATTTGTTTGTACCGTGTCTTGCATGCTACGCATAAGGGAGGTATTGAAGTAGTATTTGTCTCAGATTGCCACTTTATCAAGATATGTGATTTAGGCACCCTCCTCTTTTGAGCTAGCTTTTGGGAGTGAGCAAAACAATAAAAAGTCTAGCTTATTCATGTCCCTTTTCTTGGTGGATGCTTTATAGGTGCTTAATCCACAGCCCTCTCAACCATCATTGTCTACTATCCTCTACTTGTCTTTTCCTTGTAATAGCTATATATATATATATATATATATATATATATATATATATATATAGAGAGAGAGAGAGAGAGAGAGAGTCAGGTTCATACGAAAACAATAACCAATTAAGAGAATAAGAAAAAAGTCGAATCAAATGTGATTTTACTCTAAAATCACGTGTAATATCACACATGATTCACGCAACTTTGGCTGCAGCTTGAGGTCGAAGGCCACATCCCTCGCACACCTTTGCGTTGACCGTTAATGTGAAATCACATGTGATTTTGCACGTGATTTGGCCGTTTTCGGGTTCTTTTATTTAGTTAATGTTGTCGCGCTCTCTATCTCTCTTTCTCTCTCTCTCTCTATATATATATATAGAGAGAGAGAGAGGGGCAAGTTTAGTTGCAAACTTAACTTCCATTGTGGACCAGAGGACAAATGAGAACACACCACGTGTCTCAGACATTCATATTCATAGGATATTCATCATAAATGGTTGAAAAGATTCACATTTATTATTCATGATGAATGGGAACAAATAGGGACACGTGTCACACCTCTTTTGTCCCCTGGTTCACAACGGAAAACAGGTCTGGTACTGAACTTCCCCCCCCCCCTCTCTCTCTCTCTCTCTCTCTCTCTCTATATATATATATATATATATTATACTTCTCTGACCTATCTAATAAACCAAACTAACACAGTATATCCACCTGGAGATGGACCCTGGAAGGATATGATGTAAGCAGATCTGACCTCTATCCCAAAGAGCAGAGCAACTCTTACCAATCTAATGAATAACATTGAAAGAAGAACCAAACAATGAAGTTTGGTCGTTCCCATATAGAATGATATCATAAATCCGATAGTAAGAAGTTAAGAGAACAAGATTCTGAAAAAATCACACACCTCTAATACGTTGCTTCCTTTGCTTGTGTCGGATTCAGGAACTTGCAACCACGAAGTTAAACCCATCGATTGTTGATCAGCAACAGACACTGTTCTCCCACGCTTCAGTGCTACAGAAACTTCATGCTCGTATTTCTCATTGCAAAGGGAACAACGAGTTTTAGATTGATCGGTGTTGCTTGATGAATTTTCCAACTCGGTCGGTACAGGAAAGAAGCCACCAAATGGCACGAATGACCCCATCAAGCTGTAATTATCATGAGCATCGTACTGTGAGATGATGAACAATGATAGTCAGAACTTACTACAGTACTTGTAGCTAAAGGGCAAACTCGTATTTTGTCATCACTGAATGAGATATCAAATATGAACCAAACCAAACGAGCCCAGTGTATCCCCACCAAAGGTGGGGTCTGGACTTTGGAAAGGGTGAAATGTACACAGACCTGACCTCTATCTCAAGGAGTAGAGCGGTTGTTTCTGTGAAGACCCTTGGTTTCTGCAACGTGAAAAAATATGCGGAAAAAAAAGTGAAAAACAAGCAAGGAGCAAGAAACAACGTATAAACTGAAGCAGGTACAAGAAAACCTCAACGGAAGCAAAACCATACATCCTAGTCCACATAGTAGCCTAACTGCAAACTCACTAAGGGCCTGTCTGTTAGCAGCTTAATGAGCTTAACGAGACTTGCAGCTTATTTGGTCAGCCATACACGACTGTTTGGTAGTGGCTTAATGATATAGACAGTGGCTTATTCATTAAGCTTCTAGGGGGAGCTTTATGCAGAAAGCCAAGTTTTTTCTAAACCTTCCCCTTCCATCTATGAAAAAACCCTCCCAAACAAAAGAATTTCTCAATCCATACAGACAGATCAATCCACACAGATAGCTTTATCCATACAAGACTTAATGGAAAACCAACCAAACAACCCCTAACCTTACCCCCTCTATCTCTCCGGCTCCCATCTACTGATTCCCTCCCCTAGTCTGCTACCCTAATGGTATGATACGAGCAAAACACACAAAAATATTTTGTTAGCAAAGCCAACAAATACGGAAAAATAATATGCTATATGGTTTACAGTATTGGGCATCAAATTTGAGCTTCTCTAGGCGATCCAATGGTTTTAAGGAGTCAAATACCTACGTGCACTTGGCACATTTACAACCAAATCCAGTTTTCAATGGGCAAGGCAATGAACTTGACAAAAGATTAGGTCTTAACATAATCAAGTAGAGACTTGAAATCGAGTAATTCTTGCAGCATTTGCAGTCCAACTGGAATATAATTATTCTAAGACTACCGACATTAAATAGTTATAAATTCTAAATGACAATAGGGATTTGATCTACGGGTAGAGTTATGTAAACTTCATAGGAAATATCTGAATAAGCTTCAAACAGCTTATAGAATATGATACTTGTACAATATCACTCACCTAGATTTCAAGTGTGATCCATTAGTATTCAATTTGGAAGAAGTTATTGGAAGCAGATTCAAATCCCATTCTTTCTCCAACCCCGGAAATTTCGCCAAAATTTTCATGTAAGTCTCATAACTGCCTACGGCTCCGATCAACCACAATTTCCCACCACACAATTGAACTAAACTACTCAATTGTGAAACAAGATGTTCCACAGAACCAGTTGATCCACCATCCACAAACAACTTCAATTCTCCAAAATTCACAATCACACCACAACCTGTGCAGCTCTCCACCTTGTCTCTAACTTCTTTTAACTTCAAATCCATCATATCTTCACTCAAATTCCCCACAAGAAACTCACAGATCTCCTTATCAATGGTGATCACGTTTAAACCCTCTATTTCAGTAGGCAAGAAACCATTTTTACCGATCTTTAAAGCATCTGTAAATCCAGCAAGAACACTGTCAGCAGAAACCCCAATTAGTAATGGGTTTTTCGAGCTTTTCTTGGCTAAGATTTGCCCAATTCTTTTGAAATCTTCTTCTCCTTGATCAACAGCAAATGGGAAATTAAACCCACTTAGATTGGTATTCGTATCAGGTAGGCTACAGAGGAACAGGGGCGGAAACCTCATAGATTTCTGGAATCCAGAAACCGGCGGTGGATGGAGGACGGCGACCTTGATATCGGTGCTCCGAAAACCCGCATCGCCGAAAACCCGACTAACAATCGGGTCATCAAGAATTGACAATATGAAGTGCTTGAGCTCGACTTTAACACACGATAACGACGATTGCGAGCTGTTCAACTGTTGATGCATCTGATACAAATGAAACGTCTCCGGATGGCGTCTCTGATTCGCCTGAGACCGCTTGATTGCAGCCATGAGCGAATTGGAAACCGGCGGCTCGTCATCTGGGGTTTTGCTTTTGGAAGAAGGAAGACGATCGAGAGAAACGCTGACACAAAGCTCAAGCGCACGAAACTGAAGCCGAGGGGAATAAGCCGAGCTGCGAGCTCGAGCACAGGCGTCACGGAGGGTGGATGTGGGCAGAGATAAAAGAGCCGAGACGGCGTGAAGAGACGTGGTCTGGGAATGGCTCCGTCGGCGAGCAACGGCCACCGCATCATCCAAAGCACGCGCCGCCTCGTCCGTTAAGCATTGCCTGGCTGAGCTGACCGGCGTTGGCATCGCCGGTAAGCATATATACACCCACAATTACACGTATACACAACCGTACTAATATTATAATCACAGCAACTCAGTGACTCACTTGAAATCCAAACGTGAATAAAAAATTATTGAGTAGTGTTTACTTCAATGCCTTTTGCAATTATTTATTGAGATATGGGGTGTGAAGGGGGTATTTTTGTTCTTGGGTATTTCAGTGGGACCTTAAAACAAACACATGGTGAGCATAGATTCTTGAAGAACATCAATGAAAGATTAGAAAGATCTTTCTGCCTTCGTCTTTATATGGCAGAATTGTAGTTTTTTAAGAGCTCTTTGTGTGTGTGAGAGAGAGAGAGAGATATAGAAAGATGCCGTGTCCACTTGATAAACAACTGGGCCAAGCTCGTCAATGGCATCAATGGAAGTCAAGGTCACTCTCATGCTTTTTAGAGAGAAAGAAAGTTGTTTTTCGATTCAACAACCATACAAATCTAATCACTAAAATCATCTACCAACTTCGTTTTCACAAACTATAATCTTTTTTAACGAATCATTTATATATAATCTTTGTTATTTGGTGATTTTGGTAACCGATTGAAAGAAGAATTTAAAGTTTAAGAGAATACCACCCCATTGGAATCTAGAGATGCATAACAACCAGGTTCGTTTCAACTATTGTTTCTTGTAAAGAACCTTGTGTCGACCTTCGAAAACTATAGTTTGATTTCTGACACAGTACTTGAACCATGCTTGAAATTAGGCGTAACCGATCTCTAATCAGTTCCGATTATAACATATCTTCAAGTCAAAAATTCTACAACTGATCTGCAATCAGGTTCTCAACCAGGTATAAGGCCTAAGTCCATTTGTGTTAATCTATTAGAATACATCTTGGGTAATGATGCAATCGTTGCAACAATCAGATTGAACATTTTTTTTACCATAAAGTCAGAATAATATATATAGAGTGAGAGATTCCTTCTTTTGTTAACCGTTTAATTGGTATAAACTTTGCTAACCAGGGTATTTTTCATGTTATTCATATATTGATGTTACATTCTTTAATTATCTCATTTACTTTGTTTAAACTTTTTTAATTATCGCATTCACTTTCTGATTTCACCTATGAATTTTGGTAAGAAAATTTGGAAATGTCCATACACGAAACAACATTATGAAATTTTAAACAAAAAATCATTGTTCATAGATGAAAGATGTCACACCCCGTTAAAGCGGAAACACGAGATGTAACAGGTAAGCGAGTCACAGCAACAGAATAAATAACATCATTCAAGTTTTTACAAAAGTTCAAATCTAATATTCATAACCAAGATGGAATAGAAAATTTCTTTACAAAAGTTTCAACACTGAGCTTAATCGGTATCGCCACAAACATGCTCCAAAAACTTCATTTCTTAATTACCCCCTGAAAAGCATGAAGCATAAAATAAGTCAACTACAAAGAGTTGGTGAGTTCACGGGTTTTCACATGCACAAAACGTTACAATGCATAAATCAATTCTTGCAAAACTATACGTAACTTTTGCACATAATAAATGTAAATCTATAACGATGTTTAGAAACTTGAGACGCTACTGAGTCTTTCCTAACCAATGTGCCCCATTATTTTACGAACGACCATAAGTAGCCCGTACACTCACTTAGGTCCCACAGTTCGTAGTAGTACTAATTCAGCAGTTGTCCAAATTCCACATGATTAGACCAATAAAACATAGGTAATGTGCACCCCTTTCTGGGTGGGACTGTCAACACAATAACGGCTATCCACAATACCACGGCCCAGGGACATGCCCGAGTTAACAAGTAGCGTTTACGGATGGGGACTTTATTTGGAAACATAATCCCAAGCACATCAATTTAGCATTTATATCATAGTGCAAAACAATAAACAAAATTTGACTAAACAGTTCTTTAGCCCAACGGTTTGGACCAAACAGTTGTTTAGTCCAAAGATTTTAAACAAGCATCGACTAAACAGTTCTTTAGTCCAATGGTTTTGACTAAACAGTTCTTTAGTCCAATGATTATAAATAAAGTATAGTTTGCATAACTTCATGTTTTTCCCCAAGTTTAAATAAACAAAAAACATTAAAAGTGGGGCCGTGAAAAACTCACTTGTTAGACGATGAATATCCAAGGATCTGATGACATCTCAAGCGCTGAACGCCCTATCCTAACCTTCCTAAACTGTCCAATGACCAGAAATTAGATTACTTATGGGTTCTCGACAGAGATAAAGTCAAGTGATATCTTATGTAATGTCAATGGGTTTTATGAATTAAAGTTGATATTTTTTTTATTAATTTTTCTAAAAATAGTCCAGAAATGTGTATATTTTTGTAATCAATTCCTTTGCACAAAAAACTGTCATTTGGACAGAATATAAATTCTAAATCTGACATTTTTGTCTTCACAAATCATTGCCAAAAAGGAACCTTCCACAATTCTTTTTATGTCCAAGTTTTATATCCACCATAAAAGGGAATTAAACAGACTTTTTCCCAAATTTCAAGAACTAAAGATGKGTTTAAGGTAATCATCATTACCCTACCCTTTTTGAGTGACACAACCCCTAAAACAGATTGCACACYCTTCGAGTGGCGGCCATTTGGGGGTCTAAACTCATCATTTTCCAAAGGCTTTTAAATTTATTTTAAAGCTAACACATTCAGCTAGCTTCTAAAAGAAGATTCACCTATTTTTAACAAGTTTTTACAGAATAAACCGATTTAAGATGCATGCAATATTCTGTCAGCAAAGTTCTTTTTACACAATAAACTTGTATCCAGAACTTGACGGTTCAGAACTCAGCTTTTAATGGCCAAAAACCCGCATGCAAGTACCTTTACCAACTTTTCTTGAGTTCTAATCGTTTGCAGATCATAGATTATCATCATTTTGAAGACATTTTCATGTCATTTATGTCTAATCTCCTACTTTAGACTCTCCAGAAAGTTTGTTTATAAAAAGTTCAAGGAGAAAAGTGTAAGAAAATAAGAAATCTTGACGAAGAACGGGATTAATGAAGCTAGTCCCTTACCTTTTGAATGAAAACTTGAATAATCCACAAAGCGGATTAATTTCTTAATAACGCTAGAAGGTGCAATTGGCTGGAGAGTGTGTTATAGAGAGAGAGTAGGGAGATGAGAGGTTTATGCAAAGTGAAGATGAAAATGAGAATTTTCAAAGGAAATGAGGTATTTATATGAGGGATTTAAAAAAGGAAATGGGCCGGCTTCAAAGGCCCAAGTCCATTTAAAATTATTTTTCTTTTAATCAATATAAAAATCCATTTAACTTTATATCAAAATACAATTTGACAAAATTGATAAAGGTAACATTATTAGATCTAAGTTTCACATTTTTGGTAAAATTATTTGGACACTCAAATGAGACTTTTATATTTTGATTTGGATGTTATAATATCAACTTTATTATTTTTGGACCATTTGTTAATATATTTAGACATTACATAAGTTAACTTTATCCGCTACTTGTCGAAACAAATCTCACTGAACTATACTTTTTGGGAGCTAGGCCATATGAATTCTAATCAATCATGACTAGATCCTAAATAAATATAGTTCTAAATATAAGTACCCTACAATAGTGCTAACCTGATGCTCCAAAAGTGACGAATGTCACAAAAGAACGATATAAACTTTAAATAAACATTATATAAAACATGATTATCATTCCACAAATAAAAACAGACACCACATTAAACAAAGTTCGATAGAACAATTTAAAGGGTAAAAGGAGAAAAAGGTTGATGATTATCTTTAAAAAATAAAAACAATTTGCAATTTGTTCTAAAATTGTCCTCCATTTAATTCAATTTAGGGGGAAATTTACATAAATAGTCATTTGACTAAAGTGATTTCATCTTTTTAGTCATTTTAGGAACCACTTTCTTCAAATAGTCAAAGTTTACATTTAAACTTTAGGCAGAATCGTGGTTTTTGCATAATATTTTCGGGAGAAAAAAAATTTAAATATACATTTTTATGCAAAAAGAAAAAATCTTTTGTGTAAAGATTTCAATTTAGTAAAAGAAATTTACATTTTACACTCTTATAATTAGTTATTAATATATTTTATATTCCATACTTTTCATTTTTCATTTTACATCTTTATTGTATTAACACACATAATCGTATATCAACTAAAATACATTTTTTTACAAATTACATCATTTTAGTTGTCTCATTAATACATTCAAAATGAGTTCAATATTAAATATTTTTTGATTTAATCTTATATTATTAAATATTTACGAATTATTTGTAAAACTTATAATTTCTACTCTTATGATTATTTATTTAATTTGTAACTATAAAAATAAGTAGCCCGTACACTCACTTAGGTCCCACAGTTCGT